TCAACAAATACACCAAGTACAACATGCAGGTCAGAGTTCTTTCTGCAGGTTTATGGACTTAAGACTTGCATTTCTGTGGGTGGGTAGATACTCATGAACCTGTTATCATTTGTAAGTGAAGTGCATCTTCAGTGAAGAAACACCCTGCAGGTACAAGGAAGTGGTTTAACTTTAACTAACACAAAAGAAACAGGTTTTTTTTGGGACTCTTAGTTTGTGGGTGTGTAGAATGAGTAGAGTACCACCATTCAGACATACAGTATGTTGAGTCAGTCCCTCACACTAACAGTAACACTATTCAATCAGTAGATAAGCAGCAGTCTTAGCCAATCCCAGCAGGGATTAATTCTATCCTCTCTACATGCCTCTTTCTCTGTAATCGTCTTATCCCCTCCAACCTGTGGATCTACATAGTATGTTAGTATGTTGTGTGTGTTACTCTGGTAGTAATAGAACTGTACGCTGCAATTCAGTCCATAATCCATAATAGATATTGTTTAGAGAGGTGCTTGCTACAGCCATAGCCACTTAATAAACACTAAACAGAATATAAGGCCCCCAGGCTTGGAACAATAATGTTGTGTGTGTTTCTGATAGGTATTTCGATAAAAAAGTACTCCTTCAACCTCATTAAAAATTCCAGGATCTGTGAATGTGCAAATGTTGCGTTGATGAATATGAGCAACTTCGAAGAAAAACATTAAAGATCCCCTCCAGACATGTATTAAGAGACATATACAAATCATCTGTGTGATAAAAAAGTATAATTTCTAAATTATACTTTAAATATAACATATGTGTCTAGTGTCTTGCATTTGTTTGTGTGTCTCTAGGTGAAGGATGGCCAAGGTGAAGCAGGTGGGCTTGCTGGCAGCCTGGCTGTCAGGCCCTGGGAATAAAGATGTGTGGTGGCTGCTAGTGGAGACCGCTTTGGCCTACTGTGTCTAATTTGGCTATATACATCTACCAGGTGTGTGTGTTGTTGTGTGTTTGTGTGTGGGGTGTTTGGTGTTGGGTTGTGGGTGTTTAAAATTTGGTAAACCTTTTTTGGG